TCTGTACCAGAATCGTAAGCAAATCAGCGTATCGATTATAGGAAATTAAAACGTTGGAAAACCCTATTGCCAATACTCGAAATTTCGATTAAATTTCGATTTCAATTAAAATAGATTAATTTAATATAAAATTTTATTAATATAAAATTCGATACTGCACTTTCGAATGCAGCATTTAATTTCCGAACACCTTTCCCATATTAATGTACTTTAAAAAAATATCAAAAAATTGAAATATTTTTAAGATACACAAATACTGGAAATAGAAATGAGTATAACAAAATTAAAAATTTTTTTTTATTTGCGATATAAGTGATTATTCAGAATTTATAGATATAAATTCAATAGAAAAGAAAGTTATTAGATTAGTCAACCGAATAATGGCCTCTCCGATTTGTTGTTTGAAAATTTGTAATATAATCGCAATAATATTTAATACAACTACTTGCAATATGATTCTAATAATGTGATTCTAATAATTACACCAAAATGAAAGCTAACCGCCGTTGTATTGCCATGAATACGCGATGTATTACATGTGTGCCGTCGCAAACGGCACGAAATGGATTGCAGGCTTCTGCCGGCCACCGCCGGAGATTTATGGGCGCTTTAAAATGCTCGATGCTGTCGACCGCATCGTTAGAACCAGCGGCAAAAATCGATGCATTGGTTAAATATCCCCGTTAAAACCCAAAGCGGCACATCCAGCATGTTCTCGCGCGCAAACAAGACCGAGCGTTCTCGACGAAATATTTTTGATCCGCCTATATAGTTCACAAAACTAATATTTTTCATGCGTTGCGCAAACGCGTCAAGAACCTTCTATGACTTCCATATTCTATAAAAATAAACGCAAATATCTACATTCCGAACAAAACTTTTAAAGTAAAATACACGTACATCACTGTGCAGCTTTATTAACAAAGTACATGAATAATGAAAAATCAAGAATTAGGAAATCTGAGTATATACGTTATTTCTTTACAAAAGACTTTTACGTCCTCTGAAAACCGATATTTTAAAAAATCTTTATAACAACTATATTGATGAAAATTTTATAAAAATGTTTTAAAATTCCTTTGAGAAATATTCACGATATAATATTGTAATATTTTTCATAAAAGTAACTTTTAAAGAAAAATAACGTATAATAAAGAGCATAAATGTTTTAATTTTATTTAATTTTAAAACAACTTTTCCTCGTGCAATTTATTTAATATAACATCTATTATACGCTCACACGACTGACCAACAAAAATTTTTAATAAAAATAAAATTCTATTTTACTTGTTAACTTACAAGAACACGATATTTTTAATTTTCCTTGCGTAACAAATAAAGATTATTCTAATAAAGAAGCATTTATTTTGCACTTGCCATTATCTATTTGTTGAAATAAAAATGAGAAAAAGATACTAAATTATTATCAGATAATATATCGTCGCGATGTAACAATGTGTCGGCCGCAAACCACGATGTATCCTCGTGGCAAACGGCGATAACGAGCAACGGCGTTGAACGCTTATAATATCGGGACTCCCTACAGAGAGGGAAGAAGTTAGACTGTGAGGAACGAGAAGGTGTGATCCTCCAGGGAGTCGTACGGGAGACCGTAATATTGCATCTCCGATATAAGAGAGATACAAATGAAAATAAGTTACGCTTTGTCGGGAATGAGAAATATTTTACATTCTCGTACTTCAGTTAAAATAGTTCGGCAATCAAATTAGGAATTCTCATGGCAATATTCGTAGCTCGTGATGGCAAAGCTATCTTTTCATTTGGCTTGTATGCAGGAGAGACCGTTAAATAAAGGAGAGACATAAATAAAAAGTTACTTCTTCAGAGGAAAAGAGAGAGAAACAGAGATGTGATGAGAAATTCTTTATGCCCTTATACTCTTTATGTGTGAATGTAAAGAATTTTCAAGTAGAACTGAAAATTTTTAAAGTAATGTTATCGTGTGATGATGAAGTTCTTTTTATTTGTTTTGATAGTGCGGAAAATTAGAATATCGTGGTAAAGGAAAGATATAAAGAAAAAGTTAGAAGTTAGGCGAGCTCCTTTATCATTTTTCAAGATTAAGACATTTTTAGAATGAGATAGAAACATTTTAAAGTAAATAAAACAAGATATATAATAGTTCTAAAATAAGCAAGTCGTAAAAATTGTCTTTTCTTTTTTCTCTCATTGTTCACAAATTATATATGCAGGTATATATTTTTATATCCATGTATGTATGGATAAAAAAACAAGGTCAACCTACATACAGATTGTCCAAACTATTATTAAACTATTATTCAAACTATTATTAAATTTCGTTTTATTTGCTTTAGCTCATTTCTATGCTATTCTTGAAATTCTTTATTTCAACTGTGAATAAGAGCAAAAGACACAATGATTCTTCTAAAAATGAATATGTGTGATAAAATAAGAACTAATTAACTTTATATGAAAAAGTAATATTTTACATAAAAAAGTAAAAAGTATCATGAGTGAAATAAAAAATTCGACCTCGCAGCTCTCTCGCTTACGGTACGTAGCTCGTTAAGAGATGCTACGAAATGCAGATGCATCCGGTTCTCGCCAGCTCAAAGTTCTTTCTCGCTCATCCCCTTTCTTCTCTACTCCTATTTTTCGCAAGGGCCACGAACCCCTTAGGCGTCCCATCGCCCCCCCGCGGAAATGAGTTTTCACGAGAAACTTTCGAACTCAAGTTGGACTTACCGCCGCGGGATATTTCGCATCTCCGTTCCCCAACGACCGAAGTTATTTTTTCTTCGCGATGGGCGGGTCGGCGGACATCGCGTTGCTCCGCGAATTTTCATCCGATTGAAATTGCACGAATCCCATCTAAAAATACGTATAAAACATCAAGTACTTTCGCATGCGAATAAAAATGTAAAATTAATTCTTACATTTTCATGTAATATAAATATCGTGACTATAATTTTTATATTTCCAACGATGTAACAATAATAGCGATAAAAGAGATGACTATGGTTCTGTTGAAAATAACAATCACGTAATTTTTATGCATAAATAGAAGTACGATAATTAGAACAATCCGTAAATTCCAATGTGCAAATAACATAACAATAATATAAATATTATAATTAGATTTTATAAAAACAATGTAATAATAATAACAACAACCATTTTCCGTTACAGATTATTTTCTATATGAAAAAGCGTAACGTAAAAATTATTGCAAACTGTTGCCATCTTCGCTGTCTGCTTCATTGAAGTATTCAGAGAAAGGGGGAAGGGTTTAAATTAAAAAATTTTTAAAAAAGTTAAAGTATAGTTAAAATTATAATTTGAACTTAATATTAAAATCTAATACCTAAAAACTTTTTCTAATTCAAAATCAAAAACGAGGAGATATTTTAAACCTTAAAACATCCAAAAAAGCAATTTATTTAAGTATTAACAGAATTGATAAACCTCCTCTCCGAAAAGAAATCTTAGATACACCCTGACACCTTTTTCATTTCTTCAGAATATTCACATAGATATGAATCGACTAAAACTTTGCGCTGATCATTGAAAATATAGCACGTATTTCAGACGTATTTAAGACTAAAAGAACAGTGGCAAAAAAAAATTTGTCATAACGTTCGCACAACGTTTCCAACAACACTATAGGCAATTTGAAACAAGGCGGCAACTTCGCGCCATTATGCGAGCACCAATCCCGAAAATCTATCGAATAAATCGCGATGGGACAATCAAGTTGAAAATTTACCCTCCGAGAGTATACATTCTTTTCTCATCCCTCGATACATCCGATGTGCTCGCGTGGAATGTTCGTGGAAAAATGCGCGAAATACGCGGAGCGATCTTCAAAGATGATGCGATACAACAAACTGCGCGATGACGTCATCAGAAGATATTGTAAAATTAAAACAATCAAAAACAACCGAGAATTCAAGCGACGCAGTAAATAAACAGAATCGTTGTACTCCGATTCCCCGTTATACATTTGGTCGATGCTGAAAAACAAACAAAATCGTGTATAAAAATAATCGTTATATAAAAATAATATACTCAACCCTCCCCCCTTCTCTCTCTCTCTCTCTCTCTCTCTCTCTCTCTCTCTCTCTCTCTCTCTCTTCTCTCTCTCTCTCTCTCTCTCTCTTTGTCGTAACTCTATCTAATCTTTGTTGCAAAGAGAAGGTAATCACAATTAATGCAATAAAGAAACATCTGCAAAATTAGTGTCTCTTTGTTTTGGATTGAATAGTAAAGTGATTTATATTAATAATGTATAGTGACTTATTTTCATTAATTACAAAAATTGCATAAAAGTTTTAGATCTTTTTGCTTCATTTAAATTATTCTATCTATACATTAACAATGTATAATTATAAGATTTCTTGTATATGGTTTATTTCTCTTTGCCTAATTAAATGACAATAAAGATTAAATAATGTATCATCACAGAGATCAAAAATATTGATACAATATGTTTATACTAATTATATTGTAACGATATTAAGTGTGATTTTTTTTTAAATAAACTTTCGTTTTTCATTTATTCCCCTTTTTTTCGTGTTAAAGAAAGAAAGTAGAAAAGATGAATAGTGCAAGAAGTTCAATTTAAAAAGACAAACATACTATCAATTTTTTTGTAAAGTTTTTGTATAATTATGTGTTACAATATGTGTTACAATGTGTTTACGATATTAACTCACATACTTATGTAACGCTAATGCATTAGACGATTGCATTTAAATTGCATTAAGACAATTGCATTAAGACGATTAGATAAAGGAAAATGAATCTTGCTTCCTACTTAACATCTCATGAATTGTATATTGATTCAATTCTCTTCTGTTTATTAAGACGTTTGGATTATTGTACACAATCTTCTATAAAAGTTATAAAACAAAGGATAAAAAAAGAGTTTCCTATCGCGTGCTATTAGGAAAAGACAATGGAAGAGTTAGAGTCGCTGATGCTAATTACGATCGCGCTCTCGACAGAATGACACACACAGTTCGCGAAGAAACACGAAAGAGACTACATGTAAAGTAAAAACATAATAAACTCGTAACACTTGTAAGTTATCTTGATTAGTTTGGCTCATTTATTTTATCAGAAGTCCATCTATCCAAATTCGAGGGTCGGAATCAAGTGTTATCCGAGAATTGTCTCAGCGAGACTCGATCTAATAACGGATCGCAGAAGAATATTTAAAATAATCAAAGGAGCGATTGTGATATTTTCTTTGCAATCGGACAAGATTTCGACACAAAAAAAACATACATTAGGTTCAACTAGAAAAATCACAATGATCTAGTGATAATATTACTTCTTTGGTGTTAGTAAAAAAAACATATTTAAAACAAATGTGTTTATATCTATATTGTATCTATATTGTAAAAAAATGTATATTAGTAAAACAACTTGATTCTTCTGTATTTTAAAATTAATATGCTGGTTGTCAAAAATACTAATTGAATCGCAATACAAAAAGAAATAAACGTGATTGCTGTTTGCTAGAGCCCCATTATGTTGCCACGACAATTTATTTTGTACATCTGTACAATAAACTTTATCACATTATTTAGTGTCTCTGCTCATAGTCAAAAATTTAGTGACGCTCATATTCATACCCTACCGGCTTATGCCATTGCTTCAGTAGCTGATCTTATTGATTCGACGATATGTGGAAAGGAATTGCATAAATTTCGAAATGCTGTAGATCAACGAATATTATGGGGCTTGAAAGGTAATAAAGTTGTAATCTATTTTTAATCGTATTGATAACGC